AATGGGCTTTGGGTCTCCACTCCGCACTCCCCCCATCATTCACTATGGTAAGATTTTTTTGTTCTGATGATGCCTTATACCTGATCCCTTCGACACCTTGTGATCGCACAGGCTGGTGTGCAAAATAGTTATTTTTTAAAAGATTCTTTGAGATAATGTTTAAAGCTCCTAGCATTCAATAAATGTTATATTCCAACTCATTTCCTATCCCAGTATGAGAGAAGTGTCGCTTTACTCTTAAGTAGACTGTCAGCTTTTGCCTTTTGCTTTTTTTACACTTTTAGTGGAAGGGCTTTATTCCCTATACTTTATTTTCTATCTTTAGCATCTTCTATTTTTAGCTACTTTATCTTTACTTTCAAATGTCTAGAGATGTTTTTTTAAGAAAATTAACTTTTATTCAGTCGATTTCTGTGTAATTTTTCTTTCCTTTTTTTTTTGAAGCTGCATGTACATATTCACTCACTGACTTATATCAGCCTTCTATAGGTTTCTGAGACTATAACTGTTTACAGGAGTAGAAAGCCCAGTCTTTCTCCCAAGGAGCTGCTGGTTTTAAACTGCTGGCCATGTGACTCTCGCAGCCTAAAACTTAACGTAACTGCTGCATCACCATATTACCCTTTTTTGGTTTTGTTTTCCCCCAAAACCATTTTATTGGGGCCTAAAACACATATCATTGCATATCACATCAAGCAGTATTGTACAATTGCTACCACAGTTAAAACATTCTCTTCCTTGAACTTAATAACAGCTCCCTTTATCCCCAGTCTCCCACCTTTTCTCTCTTTTAACCTATTCTCAAAGGTTAGGGATTAAAAATATAATAGTCCATGTTTTTAAATTCAACTTTCGCTATCTAAAAGTTTAATTACAGTTGTACTCATTTGTAACAAATTGTACAAATAAATGTGATTTTGCTTTGTAGATTCACATTGCCAGTCAAAATCCAGAACTAAGTAGTGCTGCTCTACAGGCTTTGGGATTTTGCTTATATAATCCCAGAATTTCCTCAGGATTATCAGGTAATTAAGTTGTTATGACTGTTAATATTTTAGACCTTTTAAGTATAAATCATTTTATATTGTTAAAAGTGCTGTTTCTGAAGAGATTTGGTGTCAAATTTGTAGTTAAGATTTGAGAAATGTTTACATTAATCATTCTTGGAAGATTTCTTTTTCCTAATTCTAGCTCTAATTTTTCTTTGAAGGTTAGTTGTCTTTTTTAAAAAAACATTTTATTGGAGACTTATACAACTCATCACAATCCATACATACATCCATTGTGTCAAGTACATTTGTTGCCATCATTTTCAAAACATTTTCTTACTACATTAGCCCTTGGTATCAGTTCCTCCCTCCCTCATGAATCCTTGATAATTTATAAATTATTTTTCCATGTCTTGCACTATCCGATGTCTCCCTTTACCCCCTTATCTATTGTCCATCTCCTTGGGAAGGCGGGTTATAGGTAGGTCATTGTGATTGGTTTCCCCTTTCTCCC